CTCTGGCCCCTCCTGGGGCCCGCACTCTCGCTCCGGGCTCGCTCCACCTCCATCACTGACACCAGGACACTGCAGGGCTGCCATCTCCTGCAGAGAGCCAGCCATCAGATGGCAGCTGAGAAGCCACCTGTCACCTCACGCCGTCTATGAACCTCTTTCCTGGCTACTCAGTCCTGTCCACTACACTCTAAACTCTTCAAAGCCAGAACCACCTCCTCCTGTTGCTTTTATACCCAAGTTGTTCAGTACAGTGCTTTATACATGAGTGTTTGTTGAATGAATGATCCGCTTGAAATTACAGAATGAAAAGTGAGTTCTGATTCCTCCTGCTTGCTAGTAACCTACCTGATGTTTTGTTTGTATTTTTGCCTAAAGATATTGTTAAATGATGTGTGTGAAGTGTTAACCTAACACTTCAAGTTCTGTGATAGTCTTTTATATACACATTTGAATTCTTCCTGAGAGCCAGAGAGACCTAATGATTACTTGGTGAAGATCACCAATAAGGGTCAGAACTTGAAGTTAAGCTCATGTCAGAGTTAGTAGTGATCCCTGTGTCACGGCCCCGTCAGGCAGCCTGGTCTACAGTGCCACCTTGTTGAGCGTGGCTGAAACTCAGGAGTCTGGGATCTTTATAGCTCATCATTTAGTCTCAAAAGTTCCTTTTTCCATTTCCATTTTCTTTGATTTTATATTTATGTATTTGAGAAAGACAGAGACATGTAGAAACAGAGTTCCTATCCACTGCTTCACTCTCATGCCCACAGCAAACTGGGTTGAGTTGGGGCCAGGGCCAGAAGGTCAGAGTTCAGTCTGGGTCTTCCACAGAGATGATAGGGACCCAGCTGATGGAGCCATCACATCTGCCTCTCCGGTCATTAACAGGAAGCAGGAGTCAGGCCAGGAATTGCCCTCAACCGTCTGTTGTGGACATAATGCCTTACCTGCATGTCTAATTATTGATTAGACACTTAGTTTTATGATAAATTGCATATATTGCTTCCTTGTATAATACTACCATGCTTAGTGCAGTTATGGATAAAGTTTACTGCACAGCAATAGATTTTTTTTCTTGTATCGTGTGTCTCTACATGCTCATATAGTTAACATATGTCTATGTAATGTGAAAAGATGTAGCTATCGTTTTCAAAATAAAGGAAAATTGGCTGTCTACCTTTTGAAAAGTTAGAAACATGCTACAAATGAAACATTGGAACAAAAAACATAAAAGATAGTTTGATGTATTCCCTATCAGAAAATAAGAGTGTGTGAAACTGTCGATAAGTTTTTCTCCCCAGGCATTTTAACCTAAGAGTTACGAAGTGTATTGATCACTGGCCGGAGTGGGAGTGGGATGTGGAGTGCTGTGCCTGTGCCCCGTGGTAAAGAAGCTAGGTTAGGGAATAGAGGGAAACCTAACTTCGAAGAAATAATTTACAACAGCAGCATAATGTTTATAATTCTTTCCAAATTCTTTATGATTACTGCAGGAATTTAGAGAAATCATACAGGCTAACTTGCTCAGCTAGATTTGTAGGTGGCTTTTAAATGGTGGTTGGAATTTGAATATGGGTTAGAATAAATAACAAAAAAAGAAAAAATCATTTTGTTCTGCTGTGGCCAAAATTGATTTCCTAGGCATCTAGGAAGTATTAAATTGCTAGATTTTTTTTTTTTTTTAGTTCAAATGTTTCTCCCAAGGTATAACAGAAATATAGAAAGGTGTGATTTTTCTTGCTTTGGAAATGCAGTATGTTGTAATTACTGGAACATCTGTCATGTAAAGAAATGTGTAAGATTATGTAATGTAATATATAGCTTTCTTGGCATGACACATTCCTACTTATCACAGCAGCCTAATCACTCATCTCATCTCTCCTGGACAGTTGCCAGTTCCTCCAAAGAGTTCCACCAAGGGTTGGGTGTGTTGCTTTCTCTGTAGATCCTTGCCCTTTTATTTGATGGTCTCAGCTCCATCTTTTCGGGCTGAGATTAGATGCCATTTCATTCTGAAAAACTTCCTCTCATCTCCCAAAAGCTGAATTGGGCAATCTTTCAGGATGCTACCAAAGCATCCTGACTTTACCTCATGCTGCTGCGATTTCCAGTTTGTCACTGCATGTAAATACAGCTCCAGGTCAGAAATCTTGAGATGTTTTTGTTGTTTTCCACTTGTGTGCCTTTGGTGCCCAAGACATTCTTAGAAACTTTGTTGACTAGAAACATACCTTTGGGGTTAGGCATAGCACCTTTTAGGTAAGCAGTGAATATCACCCCAAAGAGAAGTTTTTGTTTGCTGAAACACCGTATGGGCAGCCCTGAACTGTTCCCACGGGAGATGTAGCATGTGACCTGGTGGTATCCAGGAGCTGTCAGGGCATGGTGACTGGCTTTGTGTTTCTGGTTTTCTTCATGCTCTCTTAGTGTGTTCACTTGTTAATACTGCTATTGCAGCTACTTTAGGGTGCATATGAGGAAGTGTGTATATGAGGGTCCATATTTTTCTATCCTTTGGTTTTTTATTCTGCTTTTGTGTTAGGTCAATCTCATTTAAACTCATCTGTCCAGGTTTTGTTTTTGTATTCATGTTGATATCCCTGCTTTTAACGGGTAATTTTAGTTTAGTTATATTTATTGTGATTACTAATACGTTTGGACTTATTTCTACTTTTTGTGCATTTCTCTTTGTATTTTGTGCATTTTTTTCTTAGTCTGCTTTCAATCAGATACTCAGTTTTGTTACTTTCTATCTTCCTCCATTCTTTTGAATGTTGTAGGTTATGTGAATATTTGTTTTTAAAGTTTTAAGTAAAATTTTTCTAATAAAGTCTAGTTATTCAGAAATTTTCTTTGAAGTAATTAAAGTTGTTGGCTTGCTTAGCATCTAAATATTTCCTTTATGTATCTTACTGCTTCATAGATTTTGAAATTTATACTTTGGTAAACCTTTGAGCATTGTCTTTCAAACGGTAAATGGTTGACATTTTATCAGTGTGTGAGACTTGTTTCTATATTGCGCTGTGTTCACTTTTCTGGATGTTCTACCCCCCTGTAAGAGCTCTGAGTGTGTCAGTAGGTAAATTTCATAGCCTTTGTGTGTCTGAGAACACCCAAAAGCTCCGTGATGCTCTGGCTGCCTGTAAGACTGTAACAGTTGTTTGTCACGAGCCTTTTGGAGATGTTGCTTGATTGTCTTCTGACCTCTGCTGCAGCTGCTGACAAGTGTGCTCTCAGTCTGTCATTCCAGTGAGGTAATTTGTTTTTTTCCCCTCTGTTAGCTTTGAAAATTATGCTTTTATGACTTGATGTTACATAATTTCTCCACAGTGTCTCGTGTGAATTCATATTTCTATAACCTATATACTTTTTTCTTGCTTGATTTTTTTTGTTTAAGTGTGACTTGCACAAAGTGTAAGCGCAGTTGATTTTCATGTACACGTATGTGTCAGTGAGCTGTCAGCACCTGGGTGAAGCCACAGGCTTTCCTGGTTAGCTCTCGTGCTGTCTCTCCTCTGGGATGTGCTCAACAACTGCCTCCTCCTCATACATTGCTTCTCCACCCAGTCCCCCCAGTGCCATCTCTTGGAATTCCATGAGACAAACACTGCGACCTCAGTGTGTGTCACCGACTGCTTCCCCTGTGTTTTCTTCTGTCTTGCATGTTAAGGTTTAGGTAGGTCTTAGGGCTTGCAGTTTGCTGGTTCCCTTTGTGACTGTGTCCAATCTGGAGTATGTCCAATTGGTTGTTGTTTTTTATTACATTGCCTTAAATTTTTCACTTCCAAGTTTTCTAATCAATGTTTTCTTTTCCACCTAATACAAATTTAATTCATTTCTATCCATTTTAAATTTTTTATTAATAACTGTTTCACCTTAATTCTTAGATTTTTGAACATCCTCAAAACATTTTACAATCTCTAGCAGATTACTGCAAGTGAATTTCTTTTTAAATCAATTTCTACTCAAGTTATGGATTTTGTGACTTGCTTTCTTAGCATTAGATTTCTTTATATGTTTCAGGGTTTTGTTTTGCAATTTACTTTGCAGCAGAACGTTTTAGTTTGGTTTTGTCTCAGTGGCTTCCCTTCTCTCCAACCCAATCTCTCCAAGGTTTTCCTGTTGATTACTGAGGGTGTTAATAAGTACATTCTTGGAGCCAACCAGTGGCTTGCTCTGTACCTGGCATCGCAACCGTGTTTTTGTCCCTACTGCGCCATACTTACAGTTTCTGCTTAAAGCCTGAGTTTCAGTCAACATGATGAACCATTTTCTCAACATGATAGTGTGGGTAGAGAAGCGCCAACTTTGCCTTACTTTCCAGGACTGTATCTGATTTGAATCAACCAGTTTCTGGCGGGCTGTTTTGAGTTCCATTATCCTGGCTCCCAAAAGGAAGCCACTGAGTATCTTCTCCCCTCCTTAGCCCAAATGTATTTCTAGACCTAGAAACCAGCAGGTCTGTAGCTTCAGGTTTTGCTTAACATTTTTGAGTTTCCGTATTTTTTTGTTGCATAGAACTTGTTGTTTCTTAGCTGACTTTTATTTATGCTTCACATGCTTAATTCATTTGTGCTGTGTGGTGCCAACAGGATTTCTAAACTTGCCGTAAGATGTTAGCCTAGCAGTGCTAATAATTGTTAAACTTCTTTTCATGGAATAACGGTCTGAGTGTATTGAAGAGAGAGGGAAATGTGAGGTTTCCGGTTGATTTGTTCTCAGGAACATGTGTTTGTTGCTATTGTTTATAAAGTTTGATTTCATTTTAATATTTACTTAGTAACCCTTGTAATATCTTTTGTTATTATAGCAAATATTTTTGTATTATAAACTTTCAAAAATACAACGGTTATACATGTGTACAAATATAGATGTACACACGCAGTACGAATTACATGTATAACTCCAGACTATTTCGATGTTTATTCATGCCTTACATGTTCATTCATCTTAATATTCATCTTATAAAAACCCACAGAAGCCAATACAGCCTTGTTTTGTAGGTGAAGCTGTGAGTGCGGGGGATGCATTATGTGAAATTGAGACTGACAAAGCTGTGGTTACCTTAGATGCAAGTGATGATGGCATCTTGGCCAAAATTGTGGTAAGTTTTTATTTTAATTGCTTTCAACACGATGATGATTTATTTAATGCTCCTTGAACTAAAGTTATGATATATTTTTTTACCTCTTTATAGTGCATTATTTACTACATAACACATTTTTAATTCAGATAATAAATGTTAAAGTCTAACAAATGGCTTCTTATTCTGTATTCTCTGAAGCTTCTATAAGGCGTCATATTTACAAATGGGCTGTTGGACCTTATGTGAGAATGAGTAAAACAAAAAACTGAAAACTGCTCTGATAAAAAAAGAAAAAACATGGCTACTTAGGGTCCTGTGGTATATTCAGTGATGGAGCCAAGTAGCATAGCTGTTTCTCAGCTTCTGGAACGTTTATTGTGTAGTGTGGAGTATTACCAGCTAAGACTGACCTATGGAGTCACAATGCTGCCTGACTGATACTGCTAAAATGTGGTCACTTACTAGTTGTGTTATAAATTCTTGTGTTAGCAAATTCTTTAACCTCTGAGCCTTTCTTTTCCTTATTAAGTGATGATGATGATGGTAGTACCTACACCATGGTGTAGTAGGCAACACTGTAAGTGTGTAGGTGTGGGTGTGTGTATTCCAAGACCTGTTATCCATCAAGACCCAATAAAGGTTGATATTCCCATTACTGGACTTGTTTCTCAGCTCCTTGGTCACCATTGGCCTCCTGGTCTTTAAGTGTGCTTATCTGATAATTCATGTTGGTTGGTTGAGCCAGGAGGAAAAGGAATCGTTTGTGCCTGTACAGTTTAATCAGGACAGGCAAGCGCCGTGTGTGTTAATGGCATCTTGCTGGTGAGCAGTTAGTTCTCAGCCACAAGCCCATGTCTTCCTTTGGGTATTATTTAGAGACTGTACTTGGATGATATACTTTATTTAGATATGGATCTGATAATGAATTTTTGTTTATATTTTTTTCTAGGAGATTTTAAAAAAATTATTTACTTGAAAGAGTTACAGAGAGAGAGAGAGAGAGAGAGAAAAACAGGAGAGAGAGGCCTTCCATCTGCTGGTTTATTCCCCAAATCGCAGCAACTACTAGGACTTGTCCAGGCTGAAGCCAAGAGACAGGAACTTTGTATGTGTCTATGTGTCTCCCACATGGGTACAGGGACCCAACCACTTAGACCATCTTCCACTGCTTTCCTAGTTGTATTAGTAGGGAGCAGGGATGGGAAGTGATGTAGCTGGGACTTGAACTGGTGACTATTTGGGGTGCTAGCAGTGCTGGTGCCGTCTTAATCCACTTTGACACCAGCCCACAGGAAATCTTTTTCTCCCTTTCCCCCTTTTAGGCCACGTAATGTTTTATTTTTGACATTCTGACTTTTCAGACTTCCTATACTAGTCATTTGTAACAGTAACAGGTTGAGAACACATTGGCGTAACTGAAGTTAACTTTCTGGAGAAAATGAGAATTAAAACCTAAAATGTTTATATCTTTATAACTGGGAAATTAGGACTAATCGTACTAAGAGTAGTTTCCTTAACTAATATATGCAGTGATTTAATAAAGAAAAATATTGCTTCAATTACCATAGTTAGGAAACTCAGCAACGTTTACTATTGGCAGACTGTGTTGTTGGCCCTAGTTTTTGACTGGTTAGTTATGAAAGTCTTTCAGCATTGATCATGTTTTCCAGTTAGTTGCATTTCAAATCGCTAACCCTGTCTGTGAGTCTTAGTGCCTGTTCATCTGGTATCAAGTGTCGGACAAAAGAGGGATAACAGCTGTGATTGCACAGCTCTTCCTGGCCAAAAAGCTATCATATGTCTATTTTAGGGCATTGTGACTATATTATTATTTCATGTGCTTTTTGGATACTATGAATAAGAGTGTATTCATGTCGCTATATCTGCAGTTTTTTCAGGAAAAGAAAAATGTAAAGTTGCATCACTAATTTGTGTGTCTTTGTAGCTTATTATTATTAAACTTTTTGGAAAGTCAGTGACAGAGATCTCCCCCAGTGCCTGCAGCAGTGAAGGCTGAGCCAGGAACTCAATCCAGGTGACCTGTGGATGGCAAGGATGCATGTGCCAGAGCTGTCATATGCTGTCTAGCTCACCAAGTGTGCATTCTCAGGAAGCTAGAATTGGGAGTGGAGCCAGGACTTAAAACACAAGAACTCTGATATGGGTTATGGCTGTCCCAAGCAGTGTCTTAAGTGCTAGCCAAATGTCTATCTCTAATGCCTTTCTAATTTCATCTTTCTACCACATTTCAACCCCCCACTGCCGCTACAATTAGCAAAGAGTTGCAACTTTACCTTTAGCATCTTTATCTTTCATTGGAAATAAGTTCCTATAAATACTTTTATAGGAATGCGTGCAAGATATTTTTACTTTAAGAATCTCAGGGGCAAGCATTGTCATGGATTGTATTAAGCCTCTGCCTGCAGTGCCAGATTCCCATATGGACACTGGTTCATGTCCTGGCTTCTTTTCTCATTTAGTTCCCGGTTAAGGAACTTGGGAAAGCAGCAGAGGTGGTCCCCTGCACCCATGTGGGAAACTCAGATGAAGCCTCTGGGTTCTGACTTTGTCTCGGCCCAGTTCTCGCCACTACAGCCATTGGGAGAGTAAGTCATCATATGAAAGATTGATATTTCTCTAATTCTGCCTTTCAAATAAATCTTAAAGAAATGACGGAGCTGGGCCCAGCATGGTAGCCTACAACTAAAAGTCCTCACCTTGAATGCGCCAGGATCCCATATGGGCACTGGTTTTAATCCAGCAGCCATACTTCCCATCCAGCACCCTGCACCTGTGTGGGAGACCTAGAAAAGGCTCCTGGCTTCGAATCAGCTTTGCTCTGGCCATTGCGGCCACTTGGGGGTTGAATCAGCGTATAGAAGAACTTCCTCTCTGTCTCTCCTCTATCTATCTGACTTTCAATAAAAATGGAATAAACCTTTTTTAAAAATGACAAAATTATGTAATTGAGCCAAAGGAAACAATCAACAAAATAAAAAAGCAGCTAACAGAATGGGAGAAGATCTTTGTTCACTATACAAGAGACGAAGGGCTAATGTCCAGAATATACAAAGAACTCCAGAACATCAAAACAAACCAACCAGTCAAAAAATGGGCACAGGAAATGGGCAGACACTTTACAAAGGAACAAATTCAAATGGCTAACAGACGCATGAAAAAAATGCTCAAGCTCTCTGGCAATAAGGGAAATTAAAATAAAAACAACATTGAGATTCCACTTAACGCTAGCAAGAATTGCCCACATGCAGAAAACTACCAACAATACCTGCTGGTGAGGTTGCTGGGAAAGAGGAACCCTACTCCACTGCTGGTGGGATTGCAGGATGGTGCAACCACTATGGAATGGCAGAATGAGAGAGAGAATCTCCTAGGTACTGATTCACTCCTCAGATGCTTACACAATGATCAGAGCTAGGAGCCAGGCTGAAGCAAGGGATCTGACGCTCCACCTGGGTTTCCCATTTGAGTGTAGGGGTTCAACACCTAGTCTACCTTGTACTACTCTCTCAGGTGCATCAGCAGGGAGTTGAACCTGAAGCAGAGCAACTGGGACTCAAACTGCCATTCACATAGAATGGTGACCCTGCAGTATGTCAGTATGGAGAATACTTAGGCAATTAAAAGTCCACCTACCATATGACACAGCAATACCACTCCTAGGAATATGCCCAAAAGACTTGCTACACGAGAAAGCAACAGGCACCGCAGTGTTCTTTGCAGCAGAATCAACAATCATGACAACATGGAAAACACCTAAATGTCCATTAGCAGAGGACTGGATAAAGAAACTGGTTCATCTACACTATGGCTATTTAAAAAAATGAAATACTATACTTTGTGGCCAAATGGGCCAAACTAGAAACCATTATGCTAAGTGAAATGAGCCAATCCCAAAAGGTCAGATATCATATGTTTGCTCTAATATAAGATAATATGATGTCATAACCAGGAATAATACATGTGAATCTTACTCTGTCACTTCATACTAATCTGTACCTTCTGTAATAAGATTTTCTGATGTAATTCATTAATCAGCAATCCATAAGAGACTGATTGTTTGTAATGGTCATTGTCCCTTTTATCACTGTTATTGGTACTGCCCATAAATAACAAAGATCTAGTCCTTCACTGGGGCCCTGGGATACAAGAATGAATTCACAATGAAATGACTGATAGTCTCCTGCATGGTTGGGAGACACTCCAGTGGCAGCTTGATGAACTTGGGAAAATTCACGAAAGACACCCATATGAGACTGGAGGGGAAAAAGCTAGAATTGGGAGTGGAGCCAGGACTTAAAACACAAGAACTCTGATATGGGTTATGGCTGTCCCAAGCAGTGTCTTAAGTGCTGGCACAGTTCTTGAAATAAGAAAAAAAAAGGGGGGCCCGGCACGGTGGCACAGTGGTTAAGGTCCTCGCCTTGCACGCCCCGGATCCCATATGGGCACCGGTTCTATCCTGGCAGCCCCGCTTCCCATCTAGCTCCCTGCCTGTGGCCTGAGGACAGCCCAAGGCCCGGAAGAGGCTCCTGGCTTTGGATCGGCATAGTATCTGCCATTGCACTCACTTGGGGAGTGAATCATCGGATGGAAGATCTTCCTCTCTGTCTCTCCTCTGTGTATATCTGCCTTTACAATAAAAAAAATAATAAAAATAAATCTTTAAAAAAAAGAAATAAGAAAAAAAATGTCACTGGAAAACTTTTTATTATCTGACAAAAGAACGAAGCAGCTAAAACTTTCTTGAGTTTTGTAGTAATTTTCCATAGCTTGTAATTCACTCGATATCTTTATATGCCCACTTCTTAAATATATTTTGCTTCATCAAAGCCTTGTTCTTGTTCTTCTCCATCAGTAATTAGTAAACGTTTCTAACCCCAAGGACGTCTGCCTTATTCTTGTAGGAATAGCAGGCACACTAATCAACATCAAAATTAATGCTGCTCTGAAATGTCAAACTCATTGTAGGAGTTAATTCTTTGCAATTATTATATTAGTGAATATCCAATAGCCTGTTATTCTATTACTCATTAAATACATCTGTAATGAACTTTGCTGGAATAATTGAAAGAGAATAATAGAGAATTTGCAGAATGACATTTTCTTCCAGAACTGAATATACAATACCTTTATATGAAGACTTCCTAGGGACTGATTTTTATAATTAAATTAGAATCAGCCTTTCTATACAAATTAATTTCTAACTACATTTAGCTTAAAACTATCTGTGGCTTTATTTAGGTTTTTAATATCATTATATATGGAAAAAAATTTTGATTAGTTGTGCCACCACCATGTTTTTGATGTATTTGTAAAAAGCTCGTGAGATTTTATTTCTCTGGTTTTGCAAATAGATGTTCAGATAAAGAATTAAATACAAACTTGGAGGTTAAAATATGCTTAACCTTAACCAGATTAACTGATTCTATCTGTATAACAGAATTCTGTTTTCAGAACCCAAGATTATAGAGATTTTGCTTTAAATTAATTTTAGTAGGTCAAACTAATTTGGAGCAATTACTTCCTGTGAGCTCTTAGATCTGAAGCCGTGGTTTGGGAACGCTCTGGGAAGTACAAGTGCCTGAGCTGTGTATCCACAGGCCTACTCTCTGAATATGTCTTAACTGCCATCCGGAAGATGTCAGGGGTACTGACGGCTCACTGTCAGCAAGACAGGCAAGATCATTAGCTTAGTTCTTCAAGGAGGTAGCATTGGTAACTGGACAAGGGAGACTGGTGAGAAGGTTTAAGTGGAAGAAGATGGCGGGTTGAAGGCAAGTTGTTTCAGAATCGGCCTTAGCTCAGGATAAGAGATCTTCATAGCCAGTGCAGAATTATCCAACGAAAGAATGAACCACTTGCGGTCATGGGCCTCTCCATCTGTATTTTCTTTTTGAAATTCAGGTTGAAGAAGGAACTAAAAACATACGGCTTGGCTCACTAATTGGTTTGATTGTTGAAGAAGGAGTAGATTGGAAACATGTTGAAATTCCCAAAGATGTGGGTCCTCCACCACCAGCTGCAAAACCCTCTGTGCCTCCCCCCTCCCCAGTTCCACAGACTTCCATGCCTGTCAAGAGGGTACACACGCCAGGATCCCTGCAGTGAGTATGTTTATTTGGATGATAATATTTGTTTTTCAAATTATTGTGGTAGTTTTTAGTATATTGTAATCATTACATATTTCTGCATTAAGTAGGGAGTTGTTGGTCTTTCTTTTTTTTATTAGGATGCTGAGACCTAGAATTGATTCTTTTACTATCATTCAATAAAGCAATAGTTGTGAACATTTGCTATGGTTTAGGTGACCTGAAAGTCTTGCTTACCCGGTGGGAAACTGCCTAATCTGCCACAGTATGCATGAATAAGATTTTAGGATTCCAGAACAGAAGGCACACGTCACATCATATACCACACTTCACATCAGGTTCCCATTCATGGAGTTCTAATGTATCGTGAATTCCAGCTTCAGATATATCGATGATATGATGGGGGCCAGCTTTTTAACATGCATCTCTTTAAAAAAAATTTTTTTTTTTTGCTTATTTTAAAATGTACTTATTGAAAGGCAGAGAAACAGAGATTTTTTCATCTGCTAGTTCTTTTCCCACAGCCTGCAGTAGCCAGGACTGTGCCAGGTTACAGCTAGCAGCCTGGACTCCCCTCCTGGTCTCCCATGCGGCTGGTCCTAAGCCCTTGAGCATCCCAGGAGCATTATCAGAAAGCAGTAACAGAAGCAGGGGAGCCCTATTGGGGACCTTACCTGTCCCCCTGGGATGAGATGTCAGCACTGCGGTACCACTGTGCCATGCCCCAAACTTGATTTTTCTTCAGACTGTTCTGTATTTGAGTTCTAACAGATTAGAACTCGGTGTTGTCTCGTTGCATTGTTTCCTGGAGTTTTGCGTGGTTTCAACTGACAGGTTTCACAAATTCTGACCAATTTCATCGTTTATTTCATTTTAATGTCCCTATAAATTAGGCATAGTGACTTTTTCTTTAAGAAAGTTCTTCCTAGAGAAAAGATCTATTAAGAAATGCTTTTGAACTTATTTACAAATTCAGATCCTTTCATTTTTTTCAGGCTTTCCCCCTCTAGTTTACTGTTGTTCTTGTTAGCCAAAAAATTCAGTGTTTTTTGAAATCCGTTGAGAAGTATCTGTGACTCCAAAGCCTTGGCTGCTTTTCATGTGTTTCTTTGACCATAACAATGCAAAGGTGACCCTGGCACATTCTGTACCCAGTGCCCCCTCAGCAACGCCTGTGGAGATAATAGCGTGTGATCTGCTTCTGTCGAGCTAGACGTCCTCAGAGGCAGATGGGTCAGGCCCTGCTGTGTCGCCTACAAGGTGACTGACCAGTGCCTCTGCAGAGTTGGCCCGCATAGTGATTTTACACTTTAAAATCGATTGGATAGCAGCTAATTTTATTTTTATTTTTTTTAATTAAAATTTCCATTTTCTCAAAGAATCTAAGGATATAGTAACTTTGACCCCTATGTGAGCACAGACTCTATTCCTGAAATCCAGCAAGTGCCGAGGTGTTCCTCTTCATTCCTTTAGTTTGAAACGTCTAGACGTAGTCTGTTTTTGCTCATTTGTGTATACTGATGGTGCGGTTCTCGGTGTTTGCTGCTTGGCTTACAAGTCTTCATGGAAGAGTAGGAACTTACTGCTCATGTGACTTTGAGTGTGTCCCAGCTGGCTTGTCTATAAAGTCAGTATTATCATTATTGCCATTGTTGGTTCTGAAGGACATGTAAATGTACTTTCATGTGAATACTAAGGTCTTTAAAGAGTATGAAGAATATGGCTCAGCAGCAAGAAACAAAGTACAATTTTAAAACTGAGTAAAGAACTTAGTCAGGCAATTCTCCCAAGAAGATAAACAGATGGCTGTCCAACACTTGCGAAGTCGCCCAGTATCACCAGTCACTAAGGAAATGCCCGTCAGAACCACAGTGAGACGCTCCCTCACACCTACTATTGTAGCTGTTATTCAGATGCCCCAAAATATAACAAGGCTTGGTGAGGATGTGGAAAAATTCGACGTCTTATGCATTGCTGATGGAAAATGATGCAGCTATGTGGAAAACAGCACATCACTTCCTCAAAAAATTTTAAAAATAGGTTTACCATGTCACCCAGGAATTCAGTTTATGATTATGTACTGAAAACATCTGAAAGCAGAGACTTGAAACATTTATTCATTAATGTTCATTTCAGCATTATTCATATCAGCAAAAGTCTGCATATAACCAGTGGTGGGCTCCTCAGCCTTCGAAGAAAAGGATTCTGGATTCTGGTATATGCTTTATCCAAGGTGAACCTGGAAGAAATTATGCTGAGTAAAATGTCAGTCACAAAAAATAAGTACTGTGAAGTGCTCAGAGCAGTCAAATTGGAAGAAACATAGAACAGAACCGTGGTTGCCTGACACTGGGAAAGAAAGGCATGGAAAGTTAGTTCTTGGTAAATCCAGAGCTTAAGTTTTGGAAGACAAAAAAAATCTCTGGCGTTAGTTGCAAAGCAGTAGTTGTTCTTTATGCCACTCAACTCTATACCTAAAAATGCCCAGAATGGTAAAACTTTGTGTAGTTTGCTGCAGTGAAAAAATATGAAAGAATAATAATATTAGTTCTGTGTGTGTGATGAGTAGCCCTGTACAAGGTAATTACTCAAAAGTAAAGTTCTTTAGTACTTACTACTGAAAGGCTATTTTGAAATGCTAAATAGACTGTTAAGAAAATGTTTTGAGGATAAAATAAACCAGATTAGAGATTATTTTAACTGTCATCATCACAGGTCGCTTTGGTTTTATTGCAAAATTCTGGTTCTCTGATTATCAGCAAAATATTGACATGTACATTGCTTTAAATCAAGAATAACTGTTGATTCCATTCATCTTTCTGTTTTGTTCTCTTAGGATGCGGTTAAGTCCGGCTGCCCGCAATATTCTGGAGAAATATGCACTGGAAGCTACCCAGGGCACAGCGACTGGGCCTCGGGGAATATTCACTAAAGAGTAGGTATTCACTTCTTAAATAAATTAACCAGTCCTATTATTTGCAATGATCATTTTCTGAAAGGTGTTTTTTTTTTTTTAGTTTATTTATTTTTATTGAAAAGTCATATTTACGGAGAGGAAGCTCTTCTGTCCATAGATTCACTCCCCAAGTGGCCACAATGGCCAGAGTTGAGCCAATCTGAAGCTAGGAACCAGGAGCTTTTTCTGGGTCTCCCACACAGCTGCAGGGTCCTAAGGCTTTGGGCCATCCTCAGCTACTTTCCCAGACCACAAGCAGGGAGCTAGATGGGAAGGAAGCAGGGCCGCCGTGATTAGAACTGGCGCTTATATGGGATCCTGGCCTGTTCAAAGCGAGGACTCTAGCCACTAGGCTACTGCACTGGGCCCAACTTTTTTTTTTTTCCTTAAATTTTTATTTGAAAGGCAGAATTACAGAGGGATTGTCCTTCTGCTGATTCACTCCCCAAATAGCCTCAATGGCCAGAGCTGGGCCAATCTGAAGGCACGGCTCAGGAGCTTATTCCTGGTCCCCTACATAGGTTGAGAGGCCCAAGTACTGGACCCATCCTCTGATGCTCTCCAAGGAGCTGGATTGGAAGAGGAGCAGCCAGGATGTGAAGGAGTGCCCATGTGGAATTCTGGACCACAGGGGGGAGCTTAGTGGTTCATTCTGAAAGAATTGAAAAAGAGCTTATTCAATGGTAAGATTTAAAAGTAGGCATGCTGTTCTTGTAAATTATCTGCAAGGGCTTTCTGGGTGATTGACCCACTATTGAAGAACATTTCCAGTTTGGTAATAACGCTAGATCTTTAGAAATGATAATGAATGTGGGAAATGGAGCAGTGACATTTTGTAGTTCAGTTTTTCAGAAGTTTTTTTCAGAAGTAAACATTGTTGCACAATTTGGAGTGTCAGTATCTCATGTTAGAGTGCTGATTCAAGTTCTGGCTGCTCCGCTTGCAGTCAGCCTTCCTGCTAGTGTGCCGGAAGGGCAGTGGGTGATGGCTCAAGTGCCACCCTCAGGGGTCACCTGAATAGTGTCCTCCCCTGTTTCAGCCTGGCCTGGTCCTGCCCTGGTTTTTTTTAGCGTTTGGGAAGTGAATCAGGCAGTGGAAGGTCATCTGTCATTTTACCTGTCTTTCTGTTTTTTCCTCTCTTGGCTAGCTCAAACTGATTTTTCATCATAGATTTCAAATCTGGTTCTGTATCCTCCCTGTACCTTTCACTTCAGTTTTCTAAGAGATCGCTTGTTGCTAATTGTCTGATTCCCCAATCTCCAGAGATGCTCTCAAACTGGTCCAGTTGAAACAGATGGGCAAGATCCCTGACTCCAGACCAGCCCCAGCTCCTTCAGCCACTCCAGCAGCACCTCTGCCCCCACAGGCCACAGCTGCACCCTCGTATCCCCGGCCCATGATCCCACCAGTCTCCACTCCTGGACAGCCCAATGCAGCGGTAAGTACATTTGTATTTTCAGATGAGTGGGAGAGAAAGGAAGAAGCTTCACAGCTTCAGTGTCATGCATGTGATGTGGTTCTTCTGATGCCTTCTCTTTTGGGGAATGATGCCAGAGTGTTGTTGTTGACATTCGTTCCTTTATGTGGCTGTTTCATTTTTTTCCTTAGGGAATTGATAGTCTCAGTAGAAAGAACTATGAAGATTGCATCATTGAGCTGATTAACCCAACCATTGCTTCTCAGACACTTGCAGAGTAACAACAGCATTTCCTGTTCAAATTATTCCATTTTTTCCTGTCTCCTGTTACATGTCGTTCACTTTCCTCAAAAAAGAAGGAATGTTTAATTAAGATTGAATAGGCAAGTAGAAAAAAGATTAACAGCTGTACTGCTGCAACGGAGAGATGTATCTTATTGAATGGATTATATGTGAACTGTATGTTTCATGGGAGACAGATTTTTAATGTATATTAATGATTCATGACAACATTCACAAAAGTTTTATGAGTGGTTGGTCAGATTATCATTTCTTTAAAAAGCAGGTTATTCCATTCTGGCAGGTAAGTTTTTTTTTTTTTTTAAATTACTGTATATAGAAAGCATTAATACTATTTGATTCAAATATCTTATCGACACAATGTTTGATTTCTTAGGAGAGCATTGGCAGAGATGAAATTAGTTGTACTTTTGGCTGTTCTGTTGAGATGATTGTAATCCAGTCCTGGAGTAGAATGAAGGGCCAGGGAACAACTAGGAGTAGTGGAAAGTTCCCTGTGCTTTTCAAAGCACCTCGTGGACCAGGATGAAGAGCCCAGTAGAGTTATGGGAAGATTTTGTTATCTCATTCAGGCTTTATGTATTCATGTGACTTTTTTAAAAATTGAAAACCAAAAGAGAAGTCACTTGGCAGCTCATCTGTTATGTTGGATTGTGTTTGTTGATGCCACTTTCATTAGAATTACCTGTAGTAGGGCTGCTGACTGATTGCTTTGAATTAGTAAGTGATGTTTATGACAGATTGCTTACAGGTGGTGTGTGTGTGTGTATCTTTGTTTTTTTGTTTGCTCTGTGTGCATGATTATGTATGTATATTATATATAAAAACATGCATATACACATATATGCCCATATATACCTATGGGAGAATTCATACTGAATGGGTAGATTTCTTTTTAGTCATATTAAATATATTAGCATAAGATTCACAACTAAAACATGAGTCTCACCATTTTGTTTCTACATTTGAATCATAAACCCAGCAACTGCTCAGACGTCTTGTATTCTTATGCTAAGAATGTTTCATAGTGCTTTTCCTATGTTCTTCTTCAGTTGTTATGATTGGTTAAGTTAGTAAGACTGGAGTTTAGCTAGTGAGATTTTGTTTTTTTCATTCTTCGTTCTTACAGTTTTATAAACCAGTTGCTATTTATTTGCAGGGCACATTCACTGAAATCCCTGCAAGCAATATTCGAAGAGTTATTGCTAAGAGATTAACTGAATCTAAAAGTACTGTACCTCATGCGTATGCTACTGCTGACTGTGACCTTGGAGCTGTTCTAAAAGTTAGACAAGATCTCGTCAAAGGTACGTGGAGTTGAATCTCCTTAAAGTAGTATTTATGCTACCTTAATTATCAAAATATCCCTTATTTGTGAAAGATAGTTTCGATATTTCTGAGATGTTGTTGGCTTCATTGCTCCAGGGTTGAAAAAAAATCTTTCCAGAATCTCTTGTCTGACCAGTTCCACTTTAGTGCATCCACAGACCAAGACACTTATTGCATAACTCGGCCAGGAGAGTGACTCAACCTGTTCAGCTTTCATTCACTGATGAGGCACTCAGCATCCTCTGCTGGCCAAGATGAGCTGGTTGTCATGTGCCCCATGTGCAAGGTATTCTGTCCACCGCAAAGGAATCAGCTGAGTTGGCCTAGTCCTGAAATACATAATCCAAGGTTGAACCACATTTCTTCTCATTTTTCCTGTTGCTGGGGTCTGAATCCAGTGGTCTAGCCGGGGAGTCCCCCAAGAAGCCTCACCTGAGAAGTCCTCAGACTTGACTCTGGGTATGCCAGTTAGTTCGGGGTCAGGGTCTGTCCATCTGCCGCAGCAGCCAGCTCACATAGCACTGGGTGAACTGCCTGGTCAGTCCTGCGTCGGGCTCCATCGCTCAGGCAGGCCAGCAGTTGCTGTGGTCTAGCTGCGCCTGGTCTGCCCCTAGATCTATTTTTCTCAAAAGAGCTTTGGTAGTTTATGTCTTTCAAGGAATTTGTTTACATTACTTATATGAATTGCCAAATTTCTTCTCATAAAGTTGTTCATAATGTTACCTTCTTACTAGCCTTAATTTTTTATATTAGAAATTTGAGACTTCTTATGTTTTTGTTGCCTAAAAATTCATGTATTGATTTGTGAGAGACAGGGAGAACTCGCATCTGTTGTTGCATTCCTCAAAATCCAACAACTACATCTGGCCGAGTCCAGATGGAGAGGCCAAGAATTCATTCCAGCCCTTCCGTGGGTGACGGGAACCCAGTTACTCAAGCCCCCACAGCTACCTCCCAGGGTCTGTCTATATTGGTGAGGTGCTGGAGTCTGGAGCCAAGCCAGGCATTCTAATGTGGTCTACAACTGTCTTAACCAGCATTAATCTTTAGACTATATAACTGTCCTTTCACGTAGCTCGGTAAGTCTGGCTAGAGGCCTAACAGTTTCGCTCATCTTTTCAAAGTACCGGCACTTGGTTTCGCTACTTTTCTCTGTTATTCGTGATTTGAATCCACTGATTACTGCTTTTTCCTTTTTGTTCACCACTGCAGACTTTTTTGGCTTCTGCTTTTACTGTGTGTCTTTCTGTATCTTTTTACTTTTAGTATGTCTTTATAGTTAAAAGGATTTCTTAAAGACAGCATACCTTTGTTTTTTGTTTTTTTCCCCCCAAGATTTGTTCTTATTGGGAAGGCAGTTTACAGAGAGAAGGAGAGACAGAGAGAAGCATTTTCCATCTGCTGATTCACTACTCCAAGAGGCTGCAATAGACAGAGCTGAGCCTATCCAAACCCAGGAGCCAGGAGCTTCTTCAGGGTCTCCCACATGGGGTACAAGGTTCCAAGGCTTTAGGCTGTCCTCTGCTGCTTTCCCAGGCCACAAGCAGGGAGCAGGATGGGAAGTGGGGCAGCTGGGACAGGAACTGGCGCCCATGTGGGATACTGGATGTACAAGGCAAGGATTTCAGCCACTAGGCTACCACACTGGGCCCAGGTTCTTGCTTTTTAACTCCAGTTGTGTAATCCCTATCTTTGAATTAGGTGTTTAGTTCATTGATATGTACTGGCTGCATTTCAACTTACCATTTTATTCTTTTTTTTCTACTTGTCTCATCTCTGTATCCTTTCTTTGCTTTCTTGTCTCCTTTTGGATCGTTTTTCTTTATATTTTACAATTGAGCTCCTCTCACCTATATTTTGTGCTACTACTGTCATGTTTTACAAGTTTTTTTAAAACTTGTAAGCTAGAAAATGTGCTTAGTTTTTTTGTTTGTTTGTTTTAGCAAAATAACTATCTTTTAAGGAAATTCAGAATCAGAAAACAGTAGATTTTCCTATCTTCATATTTCTTCTATTTGTATATTCTTTTTTTTTTGTATAAATCTAAAGTGCTGTGTGCTATTGTTATTCTTCCTAAAAATTTTGTTAAGTCCTCCTTGTGGAGTGGATTGGCAGTGAATTCTGATATTGTCTGCTTCATTTTTTTCCCTAACATTTTTAATTGTGGATGAGCATTGTGGCGTAGCACATAAAAGCTGCCACCTATAATGCCAACATCCCATGTGGACAATGTTTGTCCCAGCTATTCCACCTCAGATCTAGTTCTCTGCCAACGGCCTAGGAGAAGCGGCAGAAGATTGCCCAGGTTCTTGTGTCCTTGCCACCCTAATCGAAGACCTGGATGAGGCCTTGGCGTGGCCCAAGCCTGGCCATTATGATTATGGCCTGCAGGGGAGTGACCCAGCAAATGAAAGATCTCTCTCTCTCTCGATATTTTCTGTCTAACTCTGAATTCAGATAGGTAAATGAAATCATTAAAAGAATTTAAATGGCATTAAATTCCCCATTTTAACCATGTTAATTTGTAGTTAGCTCAATGACATTAAGTGCTTTCACATTCTCGCGTGTCAATCATCTGTGCATCCACAGAGCTTTTCTCACCTTACACAACCAAACCTGACCCATGAAATGCTGAATCTTAATTCCTGCTCCTTTCAGAGCCGTGGAAGCGCCACTCTGTGCTCTCGTCATGTGAATCACACTGCAGTCGGGTAGCTCTGGAGAATGAAATTGTTTCTTATTTTGTGTTGTATATCTTCAAGTTACAGGCACGTTCTGGTGGTTGGCAGACTTTTCTTCCTAAGGCTTAACACTAGCCTGCTGTGTGTGTTGTATACCATATTTGTGCATCTGCTCATCTGTGGCTGGCACCAGCGTCACTTCCGTCTTTCTGCCATGAAGTGTAAAATGGTGCCAAGGTCGTGGATGAACAAATATTTCTTGTATCCCTGCTTTCAGATCTTTCAGGTATATTCCAAGAAACAGAATAGCTGGAAATCTGGTAATTTTGTAATGTTTAGGACTCACCACTGTTCTCTACAGCGACTGCAACATGTTAGGCATTTCTAAAATCACTGTGCACAAGTTCTGAGCTTTCTGTTTCCTCATCAGAAATTATTTTCCCTTTCTGCTAGCTGTCCCAATGAGCATATCTTACTGATACTTGAAAGATATTTCTGTCAAGTACAGAATTTTAAATTAATAAATTATCTATTCTGTTATCTGATAGATTACAAAATGTTTGTTAACATTCTTTTTTGTTTTCCTCTAAAAAACCGAGGCAACATGGAAAAAACAAGCAGACTCCTCTGTCAGTTGGTTCACTCCCTAAATGCCAACAACATTCAGGTCTCGATCAAGTTGAAGCCGGAGCCGTGGGACTCCATCCTGGGCTCCCATGTGGATGACAAGGACCTAGCATTTGGGCCATCATCTGCTTCCTTCCCAACACATTTGCAGAGGGTATGTTAGACACAAAGTAATGAGGACTTAAATCAGCACTCTGACATGGATGTGACCCATGAAGCCATCACAAATAGCAGTGAATCGTGCTGTGCTGTATCACCCAGCCTTGTCACCACTCCTTGTCTTAACCTGCTGTGCAGTAATGCCCGGCCTTGTCACCACACATTGTCTTTGCTTGCCTGTATGATGTTTCTCCCAACTCCCAGGTGCTGCATCCCTCCACCTTCAAGATCAGAAAAATCTCTACCCCTCAGTTTGACTGTTACATTCCCAAAGTCAAAGGTTGATTTTTTTTTCCCCCTGTTGCATTTGTACTGTTTAGGTTTCTCTTGGTTTCTTGCATTTGTGGTTTGTCTTTCATTTAGGACAAATTCCAGTGATATTTCCTGTATCTTCTACTTGATGCGTTTTCTCCTTGGGATTCCAGTGATGGTGTTAGGCTGTTTGAATTATCCAAAGCTTAGTTGCCCTGTTCTTTTCCTTTCGCCTCTTTTTCTCTTTGTGTTTCAGTTTGGATAATTCAGTTGACCTAGCTTCAAGTTCAGATTCTTTTCTTGGCTTTGTTTAGTCTGTAAAGCTTGACGGAAATATTCTTTATCTTCCAAAGCATGTTTTTCCCTTCTGTGTCTCTGCTTGAATGACTTTTATAGTTCTTGTCCCTCTGCATACATTTGCCATCTGTGCAGATGGTCCCACGCACTGTTCCCCACAGCTCCCACACTCACAGCCCGTTGTCACTGGTTTCTCTTCCTTTTGGCATTCAGTTCACCTGCTTCTTTGTGATCTCAGCTCTGTAGTGGACGCAAGGAAAGTAGGCTTTTTTTTTTTTAAAGATTTATTTATTTTTATTGCAAGTCAGATATAGAAACAGGAGGAGAGATAGAGAGGAAGATCTTCCGTCCGATGATTCACTCCCCAAGTGACCATAATGGCTGGTGCTGTGCCAATCCGAAGCCAGGATCCAGGAATTTCTTCCAGGTCTCCCATTCGGGTGCAGGGTCCCAAAGCTCTGAGCCATCCATTACTGCTTTTCCAGGCCACAGGCAAGGGGCAGGAAGGGAAGTGGAGCTGCTGGGATTAGAACCGGCACCCATATGGGATCCTGGCACATTCAAGGCGAGGATTTTCGCCACTAGGCCTCCGCGCCAGGCCCAGAAAGCAATAACTTTTGAAAAAAAAATAAGTATGAAAACACCTTTTATGGGTTGCAAATCATATTTTTTTGTAGTCATGCTAATTAGAAGTTAGAAAAGGAGTAGGTTTTCTTTTACTTTTTTTTCTTTTTTGCCTTCTTTTCATGAGGCAGGAAATAGTAATTCTTTAGTGGGAGACATAGATCAGTTTAGTGTCTGGCAGATCCAGATTTTGTATGTCCTTACCGTTAGCAGTGTTCATGTAAATGTTCAGAGAACTCACTTTATCTGTTCACTTTCCTTCCTTCATTCCTTTCTTTCCTTTTTTAAAATTTTGTTTATTTTCATCTCTTTGAAAAGTAGCGCAACAGAAAGAGGAAGAGAAAAGAAAAAAAAGAGGGAGAGGTGATTGAGATTGAGATCTTGCTACTATCCATTGACTCTCAGGAGTGCTGGGCCCGGCCAAAGGCAGAGGCTCAGAGCTCCATCCTGGTCTCCCATGTGAGCGGTAGGGTCTCAAGCACTCAGGCTGTCAGGTGTTGCTTCCCAGGATGCATCAAGGGAAGCTGGATCCAAACTGTAGCCAGGACTCAAACTGGTGTTCTTAGGTATCCTAAGAATTGACTTAACTCCCAGCACCACATGCCTGCTCTTCTACTGTTTGTTTTGTAGGGCTATAAACTCTTAACATTCCACTAGCATGTTTCACACTTGTGGTTTTGTAACAATAATATGCAGGTGGAAAATTTCGGTATTCGTTTAACGGACTGTTTCCTACTCAGATTGCCACATATGTCTCCTTTCAGTATTAAGAGTTAAAGGAACTTTCCAAGACATCTGACACATGTGAGACTTTAGATACCTAGTTGTTATATAAGTACAAGTGTCACATGAGAAATTGAGTATACAACTCTAAAGCTCCAAATGCATTAGAACTAAACATAGAATTTGGAAGTCATCGTTATGTAAATGCTATCAGACCCAGTGTACTGAAGGTTCTGCCTGGGGAGATACCAAGGTTGAAAGGGATTCAGGGCCAACATGATGACTCACCTGGCTAATCCTCTGCCTACAATACCCACATCTCATATGGACACCAGTTCATGTCCTGGCTGCTCTAATTGCTCTACTTCCCATCCAGATCCCTGCTTAAGACCTGGGAAAGCAGCAGAAGATAGTCCAAAGCCTTGGAACACTTTACAAGCATGGAGATCCAGAAGAAGCTCTTGGCTCCTGGCTCCTGGTTTCTTGTTGTTGTTTGTTTGTTTTGTTTTGTTTTAATTGGAAAGTCAGATAAACAGAGAGAAGGAAGAGGGGAAGATCTTCCATCTGTTGATCACTTCCCAAGTGTCTGCAGTGGTTAGAGCTGTGCCAATCCAAATCCAGGAGCCAGGGACTTCTTCCAGGTTTCCCACGTAGGTGCAGGGTCCCAAGGCTTTGGGTTGTGTTTGACTGCTTTCCCAGGCCACAAGCAGGGAGCTGGATGGGATGTGGAGCTGCGAGGATTAGAACTGGCACCTGTATGGGATCCTGGCATGTGCAAGGCGAGGAGTTTAGCCACTGGGCTCCCATGCCGGGCCCCGGGTCTGGCTCCTGGTTTCTGATCGGCTCAGCTCCTGCATTTGTGACCTTTTGGGGAATGAACCAGTATATGAAAGATCTTTCTCTCTGTTCCTCCTTCTCTTTGTAAATCTGCCTTTCCAATAAAAATAAATAAATCTTTTGAAAAAAGAAAGGGACTTAAAATCAGCACATGAGCATAGAGTGGAAGAAAACCTGGAGGTGATTAATGGTGGCATAGCAGTCGGTTCATGAAAGTGCTTCAAAATGAAGAAAGGGATCACCTTGAGCATGCTTGCAAGCCCGGAGTACAGTGAAGACAGAATTTGAGGTGAGGACTATGGGCGTAGGTGGAGATTTAGAAGGGACCAGTGGTAAATGATTGAGGAAACCTTATTGTGGATAGCTAAAGGTAGCAGGCAAAGTGAGAACAAGGTTGAAGGAGCTGCGAGAGGTAAGCAGAAGTCATATAATATTCTATGTACATCTTGGAATGTGCAGACTATGTCTTATCAATGTGGTCATCGCTAACAGCCCCTGACCCCGGAAATCCACGAATTTTTACTTCTAAAAGGGTTTTATATTTCTGGAAATCTGAGTTGGCAAACTGTGATACTTGGGAACTAACAGTATAACAAGCAGACAGAATTTAGTTTTATGGTAACATATCTGACTACTGTCTGAAATCTCCACATACCTTCAGAATGAGTTGCTGTTCTCTAAAAATTCCATGATGCTGTCGTAACAGGGTGTTCCTTGCCACGTACCGTTGACCAGATGTGAATCCTACGATCTTTTTCTAGAAGCTCTTCAAAGAAAGTGTCAGTGGGATTTACATTGTCCAGCACTTTCAAGCTATTGTCCAAAGTAAAGATACAGAGCAGGTGCTTCGGTTAGGTTGAACTCCGTGAGAAGGGAGCGATCCACTGCCTTAAAGTCATTGCATCTACTGGAAAGAAGTTCAGGCAGATACACCATCAGTCTCGACAGAGAACCTTGCTTTGTTCACTGCATCAGGACCTATGCCAAAATTGCTTCCTCATTGGCATTTCCTGTATCCTGTTGGCTTCAGTTCAAAAACAGCTCATGTTTAATGCCATTGTTTAAGAATGCTTTTGTGTATTCCATCAATTTAAAAATATTGAGCACATGTACAGGTGCTTATTAAAATGGTTTTATGTACTACTCTTCTAATGAAGTTAATGTGTTACAAAGCATAGACAGAATAAAGGCATTTTCAAAGAAAGTAAGAAAGAAAAATAAGTCATCTTGAATCTTCCTGGACACAGGTACCACAAAGAAATCTTTTTGGAGACGTAGGAATCCTTTGTTGTGATGTGTCCTTCAGGTTCTTGTGTATGATGCCTGTGCTATTAAAAATACTGAATCAAGGCCCAGAAGTAAGCTGTTATATTCGTGGCTGATATTTATTGAGGATCTCACTTAATACAAACTTTTCTAACCAAGGGACTGTTGTTGAGTAAACAGACAAAGGAAACTTGTAATTTTAAAAGTCATTCTCTGCCACTACAGTTCACAATTTAACAAATTTGAAATGATAACAGTCAATATTAAAGTTTTATGCATACTAATTATCATGTTTCTTTTTCTTTCAGATGACATCAAAGTATCAGTAAATGATTTTATCATCAAGGCAGCAGCTGTTACTCTTAAAGTAAGCAACAAAGCCCATAGATTGTATGATAGTTATTGATTTAATCTCTGATTTTACTGAAGGAATTAAGGCTCACAAACTAATTATAGCCTAATAAAGACCACTTTCCAGCAGTTACTTGATCTGCCATCTTGTGCTGTGACCAATGGAAGCATTAGAGACACAACAGTGACGTGAGCCCCTTCCCATGAGCCTCTGTTCTAGGTGGTGGAGACAAACACAGCAGGTGAGGCGGATATCATAACCAGGGCTGCTGATCTCACACACGAGGGCGGCCTCCTAGCAAACCAGCAGTTTTGACACAAACTGAAAAAACCCCAAGAGTGAAAGCAAAACCTTCCAGACAGAGGCTGGGTGTGAGCAGAGGATCCTGGTATCCACAAAGACAGCACTGAGGGTAGTACACGGTGCCTAGGTGAGGATGACTGAGCATGGGGATGATGGAGATAAGGCTAAAAAGTTTTTCACACGCAAAAAAAGTGGAGTTGAAGCAGGGTACCTATTCATCATGGAGAGTAGCAGGAATTTTACCAGTAAGAAGAAAGCTTTTGAAGGTTTCGTTTGTTTTTAAGATGTATTTGTAAAGCAGAGTGACAGAAAAGAGAGAGATCTTTTTATTCACTAGTTCATTTTGCGAAACAATGGTCACAGTAGTTGTGGTGAGCCAAGCTGAAGCCAGGAGCCAAGTCTTCCATGTGTTTGTCAGGAGCTGGGCACATTAGCGTGGACAAAGGAAAGCAGGGAGTACCAGGACTTAATTAGACACTTTCATGTGGGATGCTGACATCCCGAACTGCGGTCAACCCAGTTGCCGCACAGCACCTGCCAGAGGAGGGTTTTGGTCTCATTTCGCTTTCAGCAGAAGGTGCTGCTCTGGATGTTCTGTGGGCTATTGACTGTGGCCGGTGTAGAAGCACTGTGCTCACGTAGAAGGCTAGAGAAGGTGACTATGACTTGGACTGAAATGCCAGCGGTGGAATTGGGGTGAAGTAGAAATTTTGGCTAAATTGTAAAATTAAGCCAACAGAATTGAGGATGGATTGAGTATAGGATGTGAAAGAAAAAGCAAGGTTTTAGACCCAGGCAGTGGGAGGAGTATTTTCTATGTAATAAGATGGGGGAAAACTTAGAGAAAATATTTGTAGCAGAGTATCTGGAGTTTGGTTTTGAACCTGTTGTTTGTGGAATCCAGTAGATACCCCAGTGCAGGCAAAAGGAAGACAGGTGGACATAGGTGTTAATTTGAAACCCAGATTCCTGCCTTCTTTCTGTAATGAGGATTTCTTTTTTTCCTTTAAGATTTATTTTCTTGTAAGACAGAGTTACAGGAAGAGAGGGGAAACAGGAGAGAGAGAGGGAGATCTTCATTCTGCTGGTTTATTCCCAAGATGGCTGCAGCATCCATGACTGTGCCAGACTGAAAACAGGAGACAGGAGCTTCATCCTGGTCTCCCATGAGGGTGACAGGGACCCGAACCCAAGGAGCATCTTCCCCTCCTTTTCCCAGGCCATGAACAAGGAGCTGTAGGAATTAGAGCAGCTGGGACACGAGCTGGCACCCGTATAGGATGCTGGTGTTTCAAACAGTGGCATTATGCGCTGTGCGACAATACTGATCCCAATGGAGATGTTTTCTGAGATCACTGCTTCTTAGGTACTATAATCAGTATATACTTAATTATGAACTTAGTTTTCTCAAAAAATACAATAATGGACTTTAAAGATGTGTTTTCAACATGTGTTTAATGGTTTGTGTGGTTTTTTTCCTCTTAATTGTTTTTAATTATATTATAGATCTAATTATGAATCATTCTTATACTCCTAAGTGAATTTCAGTGGTTATTAGCTATTTGTTAATATGTCATTGTATATTTTTGTATCAGAAGCAGAAACTGTATTTTAGATTTTGTGCTGGTTTTTTTTTTCTTTTGAAATCATTGACTTCACAAAATGAATTTAGATTCTTTTTTTCCTTTCTCCATGCTTATTTCAGTTGATTCTGAAGAAAATACTTCTTGAAGCTTTGTGCAGTTCACCAATAGACATTTGAATATAGCAGTTTTGGGGAGGATCTAGGCAGCTTTCCTATTTTTTCTTTCCTGTAATTTCTAATTTGTGTAATTTACTGATTTTTCTTGAATTTGCTTTGGGAATAGTTTTCCCAGAAAACCATTCATCTCATGTAGATTCCTCAACTTATTACTAGAGTCATTCAGTTGGCCTTTGAACGCAGGACATTCAACTGTGTCCCATACATTTTGCTACATAATTTTCTATTGAAATCTAATTGTTAGAGAGTCTTGTGAGATTTTTATTTTCCTTCTCCCTCTCTCTCTGTCTCACTTTACTATTGTCTATACAGAAGTTAAAACCTTTGCAGGACTGAAGCTTTAGTGTTTCTTCATGGCCTTGTTGAATGAATGGTTGACCCAGTCGTGTCAGATGAGAGGCCTTTGAAGCATGAGGTGAAGGGCATCCTGCAGCAGAAATGACATAATGTGCCAGTGGGGAGTCTGAGCAACAGGGAGTCAGTTTGTGGGTGCCCATGCATGAGGGAGGTGCTGCAAGCCAGGACTGATCTGTGAAAGCCAGCATTGTAGTATTTGGCAACATTAGTCTCTTCATCTTTTTTTTTCCCTCATTATGGTTGTTTGTGTGTTGTGTGTACAAACACTTAAATATAGTATATGCCGTTTGTTTACCAAGTCTAGGAAATCACTTGTAAGTAGGGAAGTCATTTATCAAAGGCCTGCCATTGCTGCCCAGGCCTGTGCCGGAAAGGCTGGGGTCTCTCCACTTACAGGTCGTATTTGTTATCGTGTGAGGCAGGATGTTTAGCAAGTATGCTTAGTGAAGGTTTTTAAACTATGATATATAAATAGAACAAAACATATACATGTTCGTAATTGTCTCAGACTTGCTTCAGAAAGATGGTATATTAACTGTGACTGTCCAGAACATAAACAAATAATAACAGAGATCAGACCTTTTTTTTTTTTCCAGCCAGATATTTATCTGTTTCCTTCTATCTGACAATATCCGCTTTGGAAAATGTGTATCAGTGTTAATCAGTATTTTCTTATAACCACCTTGGTGCAAAACTTCCACTTTACATGTTTTTTTCCCCTCCTTTTTCTAGCAAATGCCAGATGTTAATGTAAGCTGGGATGGAGAAGGTGCAAAGCAGCTGCCAACTATTGACATTTCCGTGGCTGTGGCAACAGATAAAGGTTTAATAACACCAATCATAAAAGATGCTGCTGCTAAGGGCATACAGGAAATTGCCAGTTCTGTCAAGGTGTGTCACATGAAACACTGTACTTTGAAATGTTAGAATATACTTTTCAATAAGAATTTTCTGATCAATCTTGATGTGATTGTTCACCCTGACTTTTGGGGGAAATGGTTTATTTCAGGATTGTCACTTGAGTATATGAAATTAAAGACAGAGAAAGAGGGCGTGTATGGAAGTGAACTTCTGTCCTCTGATATCTGCCGTGTCCAGGGCTGGCTGGCAACTAAGAACTAGAGCCAGGGCTCCCACATGAGTGGCAGAAACAGTTGCTTGCACCATCACCTTGTGCCTCCAGAGTCTGTATGAGCAAGAACTCAGTAGTTGGAGCAGGAACCAGGAATTGATCCCAGTTACTCTGAAGAATGGTGTGGCTGTCTTAACCAGGAGGATAACTGCCTGCCTAGATATATGGAATTTTAAGTTATAGTCCAAGGATGAATTTTAATAAAATTTGTTATTAAACAATTCAGAAATAGGAGAAAGCTAAATTAGAGGCTGGATTTATTCAAGCTACAGATATACACAGTATTTCCCAACATCTGGAATTCAACCCAAGGATGCTATTTCAGATAGAAGCGAACATTGAGGTAAAGATGAAACTAGACCTGTGAGAATTCTTAATATATGCGGCCCAGCATAGTAGTCTAGTAGTAAAATCCTCACCTTGCATGTGCTGTGATCTCATATGAGCACCAATTCATGTCCTAGCTTGTTCCACTTCTCATCCAGCTCCCTGCTTGTGGCCTGGAAAAGCAGTAGAGGAGGGCCCAAAGCTTTGGGGCCCTGCACCCATGTGGGAGACCCAGAAGATGCTCCTGGCTCCTGGCTTTGGCTCAGCTCCAGCCATTGCGGCCACTTGGGTAGTGAATCAGCGGATGGAAGATCAGTCTCTGTTTCCCTTTTGCTGTGTAAATCTGCCTTTCCAATAAAATAAAATAAATGTTTAAGAAAACTGCTAATGTATGGACAGAAGATGATTATTTTCATAAAAGAAATTTTAGTAATTTTTTCTCTGAAATTGAAACTACTTGAAGTACTTATTATTCCCAAGGCAATATGAACAAATTCAGTTTCACCAAAAGACCACATGGAACAGAACAGGCACTGAGGGAGAATAAAAAACAAAGCAAGACGACTTTGGGGAGCTTTTAGTAAATGTACAGACTTCTATGTAATGAATGCAATTGACTGCGTTTAAAGCTTACATGTAAATGCTCGGTTTACTTGGAATTTTTGAGTTGATTATAATTAAGGATGAGCCTAATAAAATTGATATTTTTTGGATTCCTATTCTGCTTTTTGGTAAGATTTGCACAGTGTGCATGGAAAAAATGCAGCTGCTCTTCTTAATTCAAAAGTAGCATTAATTTGTGTAATTCGGAAGTCAAAGTCATAGAATAGTGGAGATTGATTTACTGTGATGTGGTACATGCTTTTTATTTTTCAAGAATATTCAGTGGCCATGAGATTGCATTTATTTGTGAAGTTCAAGTGAGTTTAAGTATGGAAATAATCTGTAAGAATGAAGTAACGTGTACGTACTATATAGTAATTACTACAAAGGTCTGTAGAGTTAAATTTTCCTATTTTGTGTGTGTTGTGTGTATATATTAAGTTTTTAATGAATCATTATTTAAAGAAATTTTTTAAGTCCCAGCAGCCTCACACGGTAGGAAGGGCGGTCGTGATTGCTCGGAATGTAGGTCTCTGTCAGCCCTGAGCATTTCCTGTTCGTGTCCCTAAGACATCCTGCATCGGGCTGCTCCACCTGCTTGCTCTCCCATCAGCTACTTGTAATTGACACCCTGTTCTTCTTGGGATCTAGACACCGGGATCAGTTCTTCATTTCATTCTGTTTTCCCAGTACCATAGTTGGAACCTCAGCTTCCCCTTTTAGAAATTGAGGACCAACATGGTAGGACTAAAAAGCTGTGGAAGTGAGGATTTCTTCATCCCCAGGCAGTTTGAGTCTAAGGTCTGCACTTACCACCCTTCTGCTCCTTCACTCCCCTTCCGTTCATCACTCCCCACTTCTTTCTCATCATCTGCTGCTTTACCAGCCCTCTGTCTTTTTGCTCTCTCAGTTTCCAGTGGTGGGGGGGGGGGCTTGATTTGTCCCACCATGAACATGTTTGTGTGAAGTACTACAGCTGGGCAGGTTTCTCATGGCAGGCCTAAGCCTGACAGGGTACAAAGCCCAACAGCCTGTGTGGTGTGACCATCTGCTTTTGTTGAGGAGGAGGAGGGACGTGGAGGCACAGGAAGGCTTCTCTGGAAAGGCTGGCATCTCGTGTGACCTTTTTATCATGGTGGCTCTGTGGTTCACAGGAGTGCTTACAAAAGGCATATCTTTGGTCTCTTAAAAAATGTTTCTTGCTAAATTGGTTTACAGATGGAAGCATGACTTTTTTTTTAAAGGAAACTTAAATCGTGGGTGGTATTGTTTCTCTTGTTTTCTCACTGTGGCTCAGTCATTGTGTGTTTTAGATATTCTTCACAAAGGATAATTTCATTTAACTGTGATGAGCTAGCGGACATTAACAAATGACTCATGCATGGATTTGAAGTCCTGGGTACAAGATTGCATTGGAATTTTTCTGCTGTGCAAAAAGCCCCAGCAACTTCCCTAAGTTTTTGAAGCAGTTGGGGTCTTCCCTCTGTAATAAACACATTTGCTCTTCTGTGCTATAATGTTGTTCAGTTTTAACCCCTGCTTATGCAAAAGGGGAGACAGTGAGGTTTCCACTAGTGAAAGAGGGCTGTTTATAAACAGTTTGAACCTCGTCTGTGTGTCTACATCAAATCAAAAATTGTACTGCCTGGCTTACTATGATATTTAATATACTTACACAGGTAAAATGTAGAGTGATCTTAATTCTAAGAGGAAAATCTACTTCAAATAGAATAATGGTGATAATTCATGTGCATTTATATATGTTCTCGTTTAAAAGAATTACGAAAGCCTGTGTACAATTAAACTCAGAATAACCGTAACAATAATAGCAACTAGTGTATTATGTACTTTGATTGTAGCCTTTTATAAAACAATTCTTTTAAAAGGAACCTTTTATATACTTTAGTTTTTAAGCCTCTTTGAAACCAGCCAGTCAAGTGCAAGTACATTGTAGCAGCTGTAGAAGCAGTGCCCCCAAGCATTAATTAAGCTTGGCTGGTCTCTAGTTATGAAACCATCTTGTGACTGTGGTGATGTGGTGACCAGATGCTGTTTTACAAACTGTAGCATTTTGCCTAAAAAGTTATTTGAGAAGCATTTTTGGACCTCAAGAAACAAATGAGTCCAGAACGGCTGAGGACTAAGTAGTTGTAGCACATGCACTGGGATCGGCTGCACCACTCCGCATGAGGGAAGGGAGTTCTGTGTCCACAAGACATCTTTTTCCCCCTCTTTGATCAGTTTATTGTTAGTAATAATAGTATCGTTATTTCAAAAAATAAAGACACTGGGCTAGATTAAGCTTTTTTCCTTTTGAATCTTTTTTTTTTTAAATTTTGATTCACTGGAAATTTTCTCCTCTTCTTTCAATGAAATTTCATCAGACTTTATAAAATTTCAACAAAACCCAATCCAGACTTGAGTTTTATTGATTCTAAATAGTGTTTTATTTTGTTTTAAGGATTTTTTAAATTGTTACTGTTTTCCTTAATACAGCTTTGTAGATATAGAGGTTCCCCTGTCCCCGTCCTTCCCTTCTTCCCCTCCCACTTGCTTCTCCTATATTATTACAGAAGTATAGTCCAATGAGAATTAGCGATTCTTAGACTCTGCAGTCTTCCTCAGACTTACCTAGTCCAGACTTTTCTTGGTGTCAATTGGCAGAACTATCCTGTTGTGTATCTAGGATCTGGCTAGGGGTTTTGTTTGTTTCAGTATTTGTACTTGCAGTCCAGTTCATAAAATTAATTTTTATTGGTTCCTGTCTAGTATCAACATATGTTAATATCAGTTACCTTGAAAATGTTTTTGCAAGTTCACGTGATATATGTATGTTTAAGTCATATGAACAATTTATATGGATTAAAGCAGGAAAAATACATTTGTGCTTTTTGTTTTTGTTTTTGTTTGTTTTGAGAGAGATGGGTGGGGGAGAGAAACAGAGAAATTCCGGTCTGCTGGCTGCCTCCCACATGCTCACAGTGGCTAGGGCTGGGTCAGGAGTCGTTAATACAGCTCAGGTCTCTCTTGTGGATGACAGAATGCCAGTTCCCTGAGCTGCCGCTGCTGCCTGAGGGTCTGCATGAGCAGGGGCCTTAGGAGCTGCCACTGAAGCTGGGGATCAAACCCAGACCATCTTCACTGCTAGGCTCAAATCTTAGTCCTGTTCTCTGACATTCCTAAGACATTTCCTGTGAATTTCAGAAAGTTCCCAGGAAATGAAATTAAAGGATAAATTTACTGTGGTGCAAAAAATTTTGAAATCCTTGCTTGCATAGTATTTTAATAATATATATATTGCATGTTAACATTTGAAAATCCAGCATATACAAAGTTTATCTCTTCATTTTTCTCTCCGGATCCAAATACTTTTCTTAATATCTATATTCAAATAGTGTAAATCTGTAATTGTTTTAACTGAGAGTAGTCACATTAAATGTGTTACAGTCATCTTTAGCGTTTTGATATTTCTGAAAGCTTTTCAAAGTTAAGTCATCTGTATCTTAACTTTGACTGTAACTGTATTTATGTTCACTGTGTCAGGTAAGATATTAAGTAAGCCCTAGATTTATTCATCTACTTAAATGACAGCATCATCCTTTTCTTCTATGCTTTCTCTTACAAACGAATTCATTATATATACATATTGTTTTGTATTTGCTGGCCCAAGCTCTTTTTCTTTGTTTTTAGAGCATTGAAACTAAAGATTAACTGAAGTATGATTAATTCCAAGTGCAAGTGTGGGAGGAAGATTTAACTTGTTACTTAATGCCACTCTGTCATTTGTCTTTTCATCGTTGCCACCCTCAAGAGTGACAGGAGAGTGTGCACTTTTACATTCCTTGGGGCAGTATGCATTAGACTGACTAGGGTAATGTTTCTTTATCTCAGGCACTCTCCAAGAAGGCGAGGGATGGCAAGTTGTTACCTGAAGAATACCAAGGAGGATCTTTTAGGTAAGTTTAAATCCTCTATTACCAGTAACATCAAACAAATAGGGCCATAAGGCATTAAGTCCATGTCAGTCTGTTTCATTTACTTATCGGAAGAATTTTAAAAATTTAACCTAAATACCACATACTTTGCTTAAACAGCAGAATGTGTGGAAGTGTGCTTCAAACTTCATAGCAATGCTGGCGGGAACCCATTAGCTCCTAATGGCAGCATACATTCTTCTAGAGGGGAGACGGACTGGGTTGTCATGACTCACAGGTGACAGTGAGCTTTTGCCTTTTCATAAATTACTTCTTGTGATCTCTGTTTTAGTTGCCTATTTTTTAGCATAACTTATATATGAGGGTTGTTTAGAAAGTTTGTGAAAGAAATAGGATTAAAAGTATATCTGGGTGCTAAGGGTGCAAAAAAAGAGAAAAGATGTTTGCATAGTATTTCCATAGTTCACCTTTTCCAGGAACATTTTAAAAGCCCTCCTCATTCCCCCTCACTCCCATACATTGAGCATTGAGCATGGCTTAGTTTTTACAAAGTAGAATAAGCCTGTGTGAGCGCTCAGAGATTCAGAACCTCATCTGTTTCCTAGAGCCTCCCTCTGCCCTCCCTGATCATCTGCTGCTCACAGGTAGCCACCATTTGGAGATGGAGCACCATACGTGTGGTTTGATCTTCGGAGTGGCTGTGTTTGCTGCTGGCACTCCTTTGACTCAGCGTCAGTGTCTGAGTTGTGTCCTGTGTGGAGCCGGCGTGCACTCAGTGCTGCACCATAGAGCTCTGTTGATGGCCAGTTTTGTTATTTCCCCAGGTTGGCACTATTGCAAGTAGTGGTGTTATGAGTATTCCATTTTAAGAGTTATTTATTCTGATTTAGAAGGCAGTTGGAAGGAAAGACAGAGATCTTCCAGCCATTGATTCACTCCTTAACTCACGGCAACAGGTGGTGCTAGGCCAGTCCGAAAGCAGGATCCAGGAGCTTCTCCCAGGTCTCCCACATGGGTGCAAGGAGCATGGCCCAAGCATTTGGGCCATCATCTGCAGCTTCCCAAGGCACATTAGCAGGGAGCTGGATAGGAAGTAGAACAGCTGGGACGCAAACTGGCACCCATATGGGCTGGCCACATGATAGATGGAAGCTTAACTTGGTATGCTGTAATACCAGCCCCAATGTGAACATTCTTATTAGTTCTTATGTTGAATATATGTACATATTTTTATTGTGTGGACCTAAGGGATAACAGATAGTACTAAATAGTTTTCAAAAATGTTTACAAAGTGCTAGACTTCCATTAACATTGCATAAAATTACCTATTGCTTCACTTTCTGGCCAACATTAGTAATGTTTGGCTATAATCTTAACCATTCTTGATATGTGTAGCAGTACCCTTTGTGATCAGAGAAGTGAAATTAATAAGATATGATACTTTTTCATTCATTTTCCATTGAGGAAAGTGCCTGTTAAAGGCCTATGTGGTTTTTAAAAATGACTTGTAGGATTTAGTATTTCTGGGTACACAGACATTTTTAAGACCTGTCCTATCTTTTACATGTTCTCATTCTCTGTTTTATCTTTGGATTTTCTTGGTGGTGGTCTTTAATGAATAACAGTTCCAAATTGTAATAATTTTTTTTTTGTCCATCTACCTGAGAGAGAACTTGGCAGAGGGAGCAAGGGAAATTGATCTTCTATGTACTTCATTTGCTGGTGGTGACTTCCCCAAAGCCTGCAACAGCCAGGGCCAGGCCAGAATCCCATCCAGGCCTGCCAGTTGGGTGGCCCTGGACCCATCAGCTACTGTATCCCAGCATACGTTAGCAGGGCACTGGATCAGTAAAGCAAAGTAACCAGGGCAGTTGTCCCTGCTACCAGATGCAAGCATTGCAAGCAGTAGCTCCACTCACTGTGTCACAACACAACACACATACCCCGACTTTTTCTTTATATTCAGTTACGGTAGGAATTTTGTGAGTCATTCTTAGAAATTATCTTGTAGAATTATAATTTTACCTTTCATGTATAGATCATAACCTACTACAAATTGGATTTTTTGTATGATATAAAGTAGAAATTAAGGTTTTCTCTCTCCTGCGTGTGAATTTTAAATTGACCCAACATCATTCATTGTGAAGGCATCTCCTTGTCCATGGCAATGAGGAAGTGACTGTGTATGTGTATTGGTCTGTTCTGTGTTCTCTAATTCACTGGCTGACAAATTAGTGACAAAAATCTTCAAGATTGTCTTTTATAGCTATTTATTGTTTCCAGGTAAATTTCAGAGTCAGTTACCACTATTGTTCCTAAAACTCCATTTTCTAATCATAGCAATTTGTGAATAGATACGCAGTGGATTTTTTATTGACCATTTATCTAGTGATTTACTCATCTTAACTGGCTTATGGATGGTGCTCTAGAGTCTGTAGATGCTGAACCAATTTATCAGTAAATACCAGTTCTGTTTCTATGTCCGCCTGGGACAGCGTGGAATAAATGCAGGTGCTCTGTTTGTGTGCTCACATCTGTTCTTTGGTCTTTGAAATAATCTGGGGAAGGGTTACTTTGATTAAGGATAGGCTGCCTCCAGGTTTTTATTCCCTTTTTTTTCTCCTTCCAGTATTTCCAACTTGGGAATGTTTGGCATCGATGAGTTCACTGCCGTCATCAACCCCCCGCAAGCCTGCATCCTGGCAGTTGGGAGGTTCCGGCCTGTCCTGAAGCTGGCTGAGGACGAAGAGGGAAACGCCACACTGCGGCAGCACCAGCTCATCACAGTCACAATGTCAAGTGACAGCCGAGTGGTCGACGATGAGCTGGCCACCAGGTTTCTGGAAAGTTTTAAAGCAAACCTAGAGAATCCTATCCGACTCACCTAGTCCTCACAGATAGGGACTGGGTCTATTCAATCAGTGGAATAGCTGTTACGAGGAGGCATGCTCTACAGGAGAGCAGTTAGGTATTTAAAGTGTGAAGTGAGATAAGTGTTTATATAAAGTGAAGACATCTGACCCAAGTTGTCTTTGTTTACAATTTGGGCCTATTGTTAGAGAAATAAATAATGAGAAGCTGTAATAGAAGAGACCATTAGCAAGATCCATTTTTAACTTCTGGTGCTGTACAAAAGGGACATAAAACTAGCTGTAAATTAAATTATGTTTGGCTGCTTTGAGCATTTCAGGATATTTGAAAATATATAATACATTGTAAAATGAGAACATTGGTAAAACTCTTAGTTGTGTTGAAGTTAAACATGATCTTCAGTGGGAGGCCCATTGTTTTAGCAGTGGGGCCTTTCTGTTAACAAGCACTGCGGTAGCTATACTTGAACATTTTAACTTGTACAGAAGTTTATTCTGAATAATAGCAAATAATGATTACATTAAATGAGGGGTTGTGGCAACATTACTGAATCTTTTGTGTATGTAAAGCCATATGTTTTAAAGTAGTTTCGAATAGTCTTATTTTCCACCCTGTAACACTGTGAACTTCTGAAGAGGAGGAAAAGAAGAAGCAAAAATGAAGAGAGAGACGAAGGAAGTTATTTAATTCAACAAGAAGCTATGGCTAATATATCTAAACCTTCACAGAAAAACTCACTTCTATGCCAAGTTGAAATATATTTGGATAAACTCTGGTATCTCCTAAGTAACATTCTAAGATAGTGTTGGTTTCAGCACACATGTTGTTTCTCAGTGCATTTTAATCCAGTTTGTACTGTGCAATAAAGTGTAAGAAAACATAGAAATTTCTATTGTATTTGAAATCTTACGACATGTAACCTGAAAGATTAGTAGTTTCTCTGAAACATCTTGAAAGAGATGCTTTACAGGAGGAAATTTAAAAAAACAAACAATCTGACATTAGAAAACTGGCTGATAGAAAGGTAAAAACTGAGAAGAGTGGAAGAGTTAGAATCAACAGAACTTAGAGGAAATGCTCTTGATTCTGTCGATACTATGCAGACTTCCCTCATTGCTATACAGACTAGAACGCTTTGTCTTTAACCACTCTGCACTAACTGGTAGAATAACTTTATTTAAATTAAATGGTAATGAATGATAATATTACTAGCCTCAATCACAGAAAGATACATGTCAGTGTTGGTTGACATGAATCACTGGAAGAAAGACCATCTGATCCAAATTGTATCAGATCTAACAACATGAGCTATGAAGCCTAACCAAAGAGCCTTCTGCAATAGTGCTGCTAAGAAATGCTTCATCCGGTTACTCAGTTTTATAGCCACTTTTTAGAAATAGTCTTTAACACCTTTGTCATATGAACAGTTATACTGGAAATTATAACTAAATGCTGTTTTAAAAATAACTTTTGTGTTTTTGTATTCTCAAAGTCAGTTGTAATTGTATTTAGTTGAGTGTTTTCGAATTTTTATATCTGAAGAATAGAGCAGGAGAAAGCCATGAGTCAGCCTCAGCTTGGAGTTCTGTGTCCTGTGGACTGGTCATATAGTGAACAGGCACTGGAATCTGTTAGAGCCCGCAACAAACTCAACTCCATGGGAAAAACACTACACAGATTTCTGACATGTTAATTCATCCTAGACATACCCAGACTTTTAAGCTATTATGGGCTTCTCGTGGTTTGACTTCTTAGCTTTCAGGAAAAATGCGTATTCATTTAGGCTAAATATATTTTGTCTACTATTTCTTTATTGATGAGGTTTATAGAGAAAAAGTTATTGTTTCTAAAGAGAATGCTGTTGCCATTCGCTTTGTGGTGCAGTGGGTTAAAATGCCACTTGTAGTGCACACAAACATATTAGAGTGCCACTTCAGAGTCTGAGCCCTGGTACCTCCACTTGGAACCCATGCTTCCTCCTGATGCACCTGAAAAGGCAGCAGAGGATGACCCAAGCACTTGCCCCGGCTAAGTTCCTGGCTCTAGCTGACTTCAGTATGACCCAGCCCTAGCTGTTGTGTCCATTTGGAAAATAGACCAGCAGCTGGAAGATAATCTCTCTCTCTCTCTCTCTCTCTCCCCTTCCCTTCCTTTGTGTCACACTGCCTTTAAAATAAATAAATCTCTCTTGTAGCATGAGATCAAAGACTAACACCGATTAGAAAAACATGTGTGGCACACTTGATCTGAGCTGTGTGCTGTGTCAGCCTGCTCCTTCCACATTACTAATTTATTTGTATTGGGCAAGTGTCACACTGAAAGGGTATAAAGTGGAAGTTTGTACTTAGTCACCTCTTTCTCGTTTAAGCAGGCGGCATGACTAAAACAGTGGGAGGACGTGGAGGGAAAAGGTAGCACACGTCCCAGTGAATACTGGAACAAGAGAATATCAGTGACTGTTGGGATTTTAGGTAAAATGGCTCTGCCGTGGCCCAGTGGCACTTTCTAGCTCACACAGAAGCAGCAGAGGAAAGTGCTCAGCCTTCTGCCGGCTGGCTCCTTTGCTGGAAGCATTAGTAAGGCATCTGTACGGTTTTACAGGGATTCGAGGTAGCACCGAGTGACACACATGTCTGTTTTTACGGCTTTTGTCCTCTTTCCACTGGACTTAATTTCACACTGAATTGTTTAGGCCAGCCATATGGGCATCTTGGTCAAAGTTTTTCTAGGAAGTTTTCTAATCTTCTGTTGAAAGATAGGTGGTGCTGTGAGTTAATAAATTATAGTGAGACTGTGAGAGAATTAAGATGGCCTTTGCATCTTAGTTTTGTTCCCCTTACACATGTGCCTTGATGACTCTATAAGATGAGTGAAGAATTGAAAGAACCAAGTGTGTTGCAGCCAAGAATTAGCCATTAATTTAAATATGATGTAGTGGGCAACGTGCATTGGGTTTTTTTCTTTGAAAACTAGTGAGTGTAGAATTCCTTTTTTGGTTATTCTGGCTGTAATATGCAAGATCGGTCACAACAGGCAACGGAAGCCAGTCAGTAGGAAACAGCTGGAAAGTTGTGCACTGGTGAAAGAAAGAGTTGATTAGGTTATGCAGCAGGTCAGTATCTTTAAAAGGAAGGGAGAAAAATGAGGAATATCAATCAGTTATAGCATTGTGATATGTTAGGGATTGTGGAGGGAGAGAGGTGTTGCCTCAAATAGCACTATCGTTTCCCATCCAGAAAAATCCCCCCATGCCATGATTCACATTTACCATTGTCAAAAGGAGTAAGATTCTGATCCATTGGATACAGCAAATGATACATTGCAGAAAAGATTTCAAATGTTTTCTAAAGGGAAAAAGTCATATTCTTCCACTAAAAATCATCTGATTTGTCCTATGATCTGTGACATTTTCTTCTAATTCTTCATTGATGTTGATTGCCTAGGTTTGTAATATTGAAGACAACACTTAATTAAAATCATAAAATAATATATGAGTGGGGTTTGAAAAATGATTACTAGCTTCCCTTAGCAGCAGTTTTTTGATTTCTTTGAGCATGTAAATTTATTTTCACGTTTTCATCACTTCTCTATGTTTCCTGTTATCAAATGCAAGCAGCCTGTTTCTTCCTGGGAAAGGAAATTTTACTTCTGTAATATGTACAGTTAAGAGAAATTTGGGATTTCATCCAAATTTGAGGATTATTGGTAGAATTATTAAATATGGTTTGCCTTTTTTTCTATTTAAAATGTTGGAATTTTTTGTTATTCCTATCATAAAAAGTTGAGTCTTCAAAAACAAGACCACTGTGATTAAATGAATTAATAATGATCAAAGGCATTACTTTATAGAGCAGAAAGTATTATATAATTGTTAGGAGCTTACATTTTAATTTTATAAGTCATACTTCACATTTCTTTATCAATGGCTCATGGGTCTTTCTGATAAGAAATGGTATTTATTAGGAAATTATAGGGTATTCCTTAATAAATTACCATCCTTCCCAATAGAGCTATTGGTCATTGGTACGTACTTATTTTTCAACTTTGTGCTCTTATTAAATTGATACTATTTAAAATTTGATTTCAGCTTTGTGAAATTACTGTACTCCTGTCAAAAAAAAAAAAAAAAAGAAAAGAAAAAAACCTCATTTTTTTCCCTGAATATTCTTACCTCTAATATAAGGAAGTGGAGGAAAATGGACCATTGTTCCCGTAACTCACTTTGTTTGATTTCCTCAATTCTCCATGGGAGGCGTATGTTTGTAAGGTGTGATATACCTCCTGCGTGGAATGCAGAGTCCCGTGCTGGACTCTGAACTGGGTCTGTGCTGTGCCAGGCTCCAGGTCACAAGGCTGTGGTGTGCCTCCTCGGTGGGACACTACTGCTGCTACAAGGCCCTGTACAGGGCGTGTCCCCCACTCTCCTCCCCCCATAGGAACTGGAGGCCTGCCCTAACCCACATACTAACTACCATTCTTAAATGAATCCGCACTTTCTGGTTCCTCATGTGCTCTTCTGGTAACAAATACAGAAGTGCTAAGAGATTTTTGTTTTCACTGTGGACTGCTGCAACCTAGTGCTAAAGGTAAATGTTATAACTTGCACCTCTGAATGGAAGGCTTAGAAAGGCAGAAGCCTAATTGAGGCTTTGTACTCCCAGGGATGGGGTAATAACATCTTACCTCCAATAAATAGCTTTGAATCTGATCCACACGTTTTTACTTTTTTATTTTATTCTTTAAGCTTCTAGATTGATGTGCATATCTTTTTGTAGCTGATGAGAGAGTTTGTTGGGTAACCCCAGCCAGATGTGGTGAACCTCATCAGCTGGTGGGCTCAGGGTGTCAGTGTGCTTCCAAGGCTTGTTGACCTGCAGAATAAGGTGTTTATGTTGTGAAGACCACGGCAAGATGGCCTTCAGACCACTCTGAGCATACAGCATGGTCCAAGTGCCAGGGGGTTATTGCACATCCTAAGACCAACCACACATGGACAGGAACCAGCAGCATGTCTCAGACACCTGAGAAAACCTAATTTAGGGCCCAGCGTGATATCTCAGTGGTTAAAGTCTTTGTTTTGAATGTGCTAGGATCCCATATGGGCACTGGTTCTAATCCTGGCAGCCCCGCTTCCCATCCAACTCCCTGCTTGTGGCCTGGGAAAGCAATCAAGGACAGCCTAAAGCTTTGGAACCCTGAGCTGCGTGGGAGACTCGCAGGAAGCTCCTAGATCCTGGCTTCGGATTAGCTCAGCTCCAACCGTTGCCGTTGCAGCTTCTTGGGGAGTGAACCATCAGATGGAAGATTGTCCTCTCTGTCTCTCCTCCTCCTCTTTATATATCTGTCTTTCCAATTTAAAAAAAAAAAAGTGTGTGTGTGTGTATATATATATGTATATATATATATATATATGACCTAATTTGGCATCAGAAATAATGTAAAGGTGTTAAAGGATAATTTTGGGGGTGGGGACAGTGTCTAAACCAATAGCCCTGACCCTCGATCAGCATAAATCGCAGAGAAGTGTTCATTAAGCATCCACATGCAATTCAGCAAGCTTTATAATTAAAATATGCACATAAGTTGTGAGTGGAGAGGAAGGGCCCAGAGGATGTGATGTCTGAACTAACTTTTTCCATTACTGGCTTTAATAACCAAATCTCTTTGCTGTTTTCTCTGATTTTAACAGGCATACGTTTAAAACCAAATACATAAGCACCCAGGTCATTTTCCACAGTTTAACTGAGTACTTTACGTATCACTACATTAGCTTTTCTTTAAAAAAAAAAAATTATGTTCTTATTCTTTGAAAGAGACAGCTCTTCCACTGAGTTATTACCCAAATGTGCACAAATAATCCTAGCAGGTCAGAACTAGGAGCCAAGAATTCCATCTGTGTCTCCCACAGGAACAGGGACCCAAGTTCTTGAGGAACCACCTGCTGCTTCTCAGCACTATGTTAGCAGGAATCTGCATTGGAAATGGAATGTCCAGGACTCTAACTAGGCACTCCAATATGGAATGCAGGTGTCCCAAGCAGTGGCCTAACCACCACCCTCATGTGCCTGCCCACTCTTGAAAAGAGCTTACATGTTTTTAGCAAGGAAGGAAAGTAAATAGGGCAGAGAAAGCTTTGCACCTGCTCCTTGTTAAGAAACTATTCTTTGCCAGATCTCTGGCTTCCAAAAGTGAACCTAGGAAGAACAGCTTTTGCTATGTTGACTGTTTTTTAATGACTCCACTCTCTAACCTCTTCTCCTGTCTTCTCCTGCTCTCCATCCCTCCCCCAGACTTTTTAAACATGTCATGTGTATGCAAAGGGTATTTAAGTTCCGTTGTTTTGTCCTCAGTGAACCATCTGTTGAATTTACTTCCTGAGAATCAGAATCATCAGAGAATAATCTAATTAGCTGGGCTGTCCAGCCAACTGAGCAAAATGACGGGAACAACCGAATGAGCAGGTTCTGGTTTTAGCATCTAGTATCTTTAATGCTAAAGGTCAAGTTACAGCATTCTTAGTGTTGGTTCAGAAGCAGTGCTTGAGATGTGGATGCTGACTATTCACGGACTGGTCCTGTGTATCATTTCATTTATTAGCACTCCCAGTTAATTAGTTTTCATTGGTTACTAAGCACATTATGCTATTTATGGACTTTTGTTTTCACATTAAATTATCTGTTAATTATTGGTAAAGTACTAAGAACATATTCTGTCTGAACTTGTTAAGGAGTAATCAAAATATTATGGTGAACTCCAGAAACTTTCTTCATACTTTCAATGGTTTAATACAAGTGTAAGAGAACAAAAATACATGCTAAGATAGGTTTTTTCCTTTTTTTTAAACATTTTTTATTTGAAAGGTAAACTTTTCAGAGAAGAGCCGAGACAGAATGAGATTTCTTCCTTATGCTGCTTACTCCCCAAATGGCTGCGATAGCCAGAGCTGAGCCAGTCCAAAGTCAGGAGCTAGGAGCTTCTTACCAGTGCTCCCACGTGGTTGTAGGTAGGGCCCATGCTTTCCCAGGTCATAAGCAAGCAGCT